TTCTTTCTTCTTCTCCACCTTCATCTTTTTTACATTATTTTTTATCAATTAAAATATAAAAATAATTCTTAGCTTGGGGACCATAAAAAATAAGCTTCATGTCTGATATGGCCCATGATCTGAGATTGAGTATAAGGCTCACTACTATCAGCTTCTCTATCTTGGATTTTTATACTGTGACTTCTTGGATAAGCTTGAAACTTCTGTTTTTTATTCTAAGCATCATGAAACACCTGTATGTTCTTATTAACTGTAGTCTTTTGCTCAGCTTTCTGCTATGCTTCTCGACTATCTATTTCTACAACTGTACAGAAGGAGGAAGTAGTATAAAACTTTTGACTAGGTGAGTTTTCCTTTTCTCTCAGGTCTTTGTATTTCCAAAACTAGTTGCTTTGCTAATTTTCTGATTCATTCAACCACATTTTTTAAATAAACGCAAAATTATTCAGGTTTTCTAGTTTTTCTTAATAATGATTTGTTTTTCTTAATCATGATTTGTTTTTCTTAATTGTTAATGTTAGAAGCAGAAGTCCCTGCAAATAAGACATACAAATGGACAAAAGGCACATGAAAAGATCCTTAACATCACTAATTATTAGAGAAATGCAAATCAAAACTGCCATGAGATATCACCTCACACCAGTCAAAATGGCCATCATCAAAAAATTCACAAGCAATAAATGCTAGAGAGGGTGTAGAGAGAAGGGAACCCTTGTAGACGGTTGGTGGGAATGTTAATTGGTACTGCCAATAAAGGACAGAAATGGTGTGGAGATAACAGAAGCCAAAGTTATTAAGAAGAGGTGGCAAGAATACACAGAAAAACTGTACAAAAAGAAGATCTTAATGACCCAGATAACCACGATGGTGTGATTACTTGCCTAGGGTCAAACATTCTGGAGTGTGAAGTCAAGTGGATCTTAGGAAGCATCACTATGAACAAAGCTAGTGGACATGATGGAATGACAGCTGAGTTATTTCAAATTCTAAAAGATGATGCTGTTAAAGTATTGCACTCAATACACTAGCAAATTTGGAAAACTCAGAAGTGGACATAGGACTGGAAAAGTCTGTTTTCACTCCAATCTCACAGAAAGGCAATGCAAAAGAATGTTCAAACTACCACACAATTGCACATATTTCACATGCTAGGAAGGTCATGCTCAAAATTCTCCAATCTAGGCTTCAACAGTACACAAACCAAGAACTTCCAGATGTACAAGCTGGATTTAGAAAAGGCAGAAGAACCAGAGATCAAATTGCCAACATCTGTTGGATCATAGAAAAAGCAAGAGAATTCTAGAAAACCATCGACTTTTGCTTCATTGAGTAAGCTAAAGCCTTTGACTGTGTGGATCAAAACAAACTGTGGAAAATTCTTAAAGAGATGGGAATATTGGACCACCTTACCTGCCTCCTGAGAAAACTGTATGCAGGTCAAGAAGCAACAGTTAGAATCGGACATGGAACAATGGACTGATTCAAAATTGGGAAAAGAGTACATCGAGGCTGTATATTATCACCCTGCTTATTTAACTTATATGCAGAGTGCATCATGGAAAATGCCCACCTGGATGAAGCACAGGGTGGAATCAAGATTGCTGGGAGAAATATCTATAACCTCAGATATGCAGATGACACCACCCTTATGGCAAAAAGAAAAGAGGAACTAAAGAGTCTTTTGATGAAAATGAAAGAGGAGAGTGAAAAAGCTGGCCTAAAACTCAACATTCAAAAAACTAAGATCATGGCATCCAGTCCCATCACTTCATGGCAAATAGATGAGAAAACAATGGAAACGGTGACAGACTTTATTTTCTTGGATTCCAAAATCACTGCAGATGGTGACTGCAACCATGAAATTGAAAGATGCTTGCTCCTTGGAAGGAAAGCTTTGACAAACCTAGAGAGCATATTCAAAATCAGAGACATCACTTTGCAGACAAACATCCATATAGTGAAAGCTATGATTTTTCCAGTAGCCATGCATGGATGTGAGAGTTGAACCATAAAAATGGCTGAGCACCAAAGAACTGATGGTTTTGAACTGTGGTGCTGGAGAAGACTCTTGAGAGTCTCTTGGACTGCAAGGATATCAAACCAGTCAATCATAAAGGAAATCAACCCTCCACATTTATTGAAAGGACTGATGCTGAAGTTCCAATACTTTGGCCACCTTATGCTAAGAACTGACTCACTGGAAAAGACCCTGATGCCGGGAAAGATTGAAGGCAGGAGGAGAAGGGGATGACAGAGAATAAGATGGTTGGATGGCATCACCTACTCAATGGAGATGAGTTTGAGCAAGCAAGCTCCAGGAGATGGTGAAGGACAGAGAAGCCTGGCATGCTACAATCCATGGGGTTGCAAAGAGATGGACACAACTGAGTGACTGAACAACAACAACAGCCACTATGGAGAACCGTACAGAGGTTCCTTAAAACACTAAAAGTAGAGCTACCATTTGACCCTGCAATCCCACTCTTGGGCATATACTAAGAGAAAAACATGTTTTAAAATGATACACGCACCCCTATATTCGTTGCAGCACTATTTACAATGGCCAAGATATGGAAGCAACCTAAATATTGCTTCAGCAGAGGAATGGATAAAGAAGATGTGGTGGATATATACAGCAGGATATTACTCAACCATTAAAAAGTATGAAATAATTCCATTTGCAGCAACGTGGATGAATCTAGAGATTGTCATACTGAGTGAAGTCAGAGAAACAGAAATAATGTATAACATCCTTTACATGCAGAATCTAAAAAGAAATGATATAAGTGAATTTATTTACAAAACAGAAACAGACTCATAGACTTAGAGAATGAACTTATTCCTCCATGGGGAGGAATGGGGAGAAGAGATAGTTAGAGAGTTTAGGATTGACATGTACACTCTGCTCTATTTAAAATGGATAAACCAGCAACATCCTACTCTAGATCACAGGGAATTCTGCTCACTGTTATGTGGCAGTCTGGACGGGAAGGGAGTTTGGGGGAGAATGTATACATGTATATGTATGGCTGAATCCCTTTGTCGTCCACCTGAAATTGTCACAACATTGTTAATAGGATACATTCCAATATAAAATGAAAAGTTTAAAATGCAAAAAATAAAGAAGTGGAAGTCCTTACAAATCAGTTTGGGGACTGACAGTTTGAAGGAGGAAAAGAAGTTTGAGAGAACTAATACCGAGTAAAATACATTTTCTCAGTGAAATTTAGCTAAAATGTGTGAGGTGTATGTGGATTGTTAACAGAATAAAGATTTTTCCATGTATTTTTATTTTTTAATTAAATGTAGTTGATTTACAATATTGTGTTAGGTTCAGGGGTACAGCAAAGTGATTCTTTTCTGTTATAGGTTATTGCATGATAGTGGATATATTTTTCTGTTCCATATATTTGTTTTTTGTTTATTTAATATTTCATAGTGTGTATCTCTTAATCACATACTCCTAGTTTATTCCTCCCCTTTTCTTCTTTGGTAACCACTAAGTTTTGTTTTGTTTTTGTTTTTTTTTTTGGTCTCTGTGTCTGTTTATGTTTTGCAAGATCATTTGTAGTATTTTTTAATTTTGTCTATAAGTGATATCATAATATTTACTTTTGTCTGACTTCATTTAGTATGATAATCACTAGGTCCGTCCTTGCTGCTGTAAATGGCATTATTTCATTCTTTTTATGGCTGAATAATAAAGGATTAATATTCTTTATCCACTTATTTGTTGATGGGTGCTTAGGTTTCTTCTGTGCCTTGGCTATTATGAATAGCACTGCTATTTACTTTCAGTTCAGTTCAGTTCAGTCGCTCAGTCGTGTCCGACTCTTTGCGACCCCATGAACCACAGGACTCCAGGCCTCCCTGTCCATCACCAACTCCCGGAGTCCACCCAAATCCATGTCCATTGAGTCAGTGATGCCATCCAACCATCTCATTCTCTGTCGTCCCCTTCTCCTCCTGCCCTCAATCTTCCCCAGCATCAGGGTCTTTTCCAATGAGTCAGCTCTTTGCATCAGGTGGCCAAAGTATTGGAATTGCAGCTTCAACATCAGTCCTTCCAATGTACACCAGGACTGATCTCCTTTAGGATGGACTGGTTGGATCTCCTTGCAGTCCAAGGGTCTCTCAAGAGTCTTCTCCAACACCACAGTTCAAAAGCATCAATTCTTCGGCGCTCATCTTTCTTTATAGTACAACTCTCACATCCATACACGACTACTGGAAAAACCATAGCCTTGACTAGAGGGACCTTTGTTGGCAAAGTAATGTCTCTGCTTTTTAATATGCTATCTAGGTTGGTCATAACTTTCCTTCCAAGGAGTAAGCATCTTTTAATTTCATGGCTGCAGTCACCATCTGCGGTGATTTTGGAGCCCAGAAAAATAAAGTCAGCCACTGCTTCCACATCTATCTGCCATGAAGTGATGGGACTGGATGCCATGATCTTAGTTTTCTGAACACTGGGGTGCATTTATCTTTTTAAAATAGAGTTTTCACCTTTTCTGAATATATGCCTAGAAGTGGAATTGCTGGATCATATGGCAACTCTATTTTTAATTTTTAAAAGAACTTCCTTACTATATTCCATAGTGGCTACATCAATCTCCTTTCCCGCCAACAGTCTAAGAGGGTTCCCTTTTATCCATACCCTCTCCAGCATTTATTGGAGAAGGAAATGGCAACCCACTCCAGGATTCTTGCCTGGAGAATCCCATGGACAGAGGAGCCTGGCCGGCTATAATCCATGGGGTCACAAAGAGTTGGACATGACTTAGCAATTAAACCACCACCACCTCCAATATTTACTATTTGTAGACTTTTTGAAGAATAAAATTCTTAAGTTAAATGGGCAAAGCTTGTCAGAGCTATTGTGGGAATGGGAAAAAAAATATGAGGCAAGTAAAATTATTTGGTTCACCCTCTCTAAAATACATAGTTAATGATCTGTATTGCATGCTGAGCCCATGATCGGTATTATGTTCTCATTCCAGGCAATCTGATGGCCTATTTGGCGGATAGTCAAGAATGCATTTACTCATGCATAATTGCATTTTCCATTGAGGTTAATGGAAGTGAAAATATAGTTAACTTTTGGTTCAACAATCAGGCATACCATTCATCACCATTATCTCTGGCTGTGTTAGACAATATTATTTTTATGTCACTTTCTGGCCCTGATGCTTCCATTACAATCAGCAACAAACCTCAGCCTACACGTTCTTCTGGTGGACATGAAAATCGGTATGTATACTTTTTTCATTGAACTTGAACTTTAAGCTTTAAATAGATCCCTTCTCCCCTTTCCAACCCTGTATTTAATTAAAAGTTAACTTTAGAAGTTAATTAAAATAATAAGATGGCTGCTGATAATAAATAAAATTTATAATAAGTTAATAATTAAAGTTATTGCTAGAAATTAATGTTTCCCACTTTATTGCTTTACCAATGTGTCCTCTTTATTCATTCTTTTGTAGAGCATTGACAGGATCACAATTAGCCTTTAGTTTGTATTTTGGTGTGAGTATTCTTGTTAGTGGCTTTTGTCTCCTGACAGTAAATGAGAGAGTCACTAAGGCGAAGCACATTCAGGTTTTGAGCGGGGTTTATGCCGCTAACTTCTGGCTCTCTGCTCTGCTGTGGGACTTTCTCATCTTCTTCACTTCCTGCTGCTTACTATTGGTGAGTGTCAGACCAAGTATTTTAAGAGTTCATTCTCTGTTAAACACCAGAGAAGTCTTATATGGCTAATATTAAGTTAAATATACATCTCTCAAGAAAGATAAAAGTTCTTTGGCTCGTTATGTCAGAGAATACTTTGTGGAATGCATCTCATAGTGAAATTTTTCTATTTTCTATTATTTTTTAATAAAATATTATTGTCTGCTGAAACATAAAGGTGTCTCTTGATCTGGCGTATGTGCTTGCTCTCCCATATGTAGTTAGCCCAAAGCTTCTACCAGTATTGAAGGATATAATATGCACACTAGAAGGCCAGTCCCATATTGAACAAAACAAATACTTTAAAATTATTTTCCTTCTGGTCCTGGTGTTTTCCCATTTTATTATCTGTTGTAATTATTTGTTAAAAAAGAAATCCTTATGCTCAATTTTTAGAGTTTCCCTCGAGATTTTTAAATTTTATGCCATCAGCTGTTTAAATGTTATGTTTCTGTTTTTGAATATTTGAATGTTGAATAGATAATGAAGAGCTATTGAAACTTTTATTACTAAAAGCAAAATTAGGAGGATTTTTGGTCTGTTTATGCTTGTTGCTTTTCTCTCTTTATACCTGGTGTCTTCTTCACAGCAATATTTCTATCCTATGAGAAGGTCAATGAGGCACTGCTGTGAATGTTAAAACAAACTTGCTTGTTTCTTTTAGGAGAGATGTACTGGCTCTAGAGCTGGAATGTTGTAACTTTTGGTTCTGAGGAAGAGCTAGGCTACTACATGTTAAAAAGTGAAAGGATTAGAGGCTTAAGTTGGTATGGAGAGCTCCAGGGTAGAGAGGAAAACCTGATGTTTTTCTCTTTGTCATATGCACTACTGTAGCCAAGGGGCTCAATGCTACCTTCCTCTCATGGTTTACCAGATAGCCACTCACCAACTTTTTGAGGCCACTAGTTATTTTTGTTACTATGTGAACTAACTGGGGGAGCTAATGCAGATATTACCTCATGCTCCATGATTTCCCTCCTCCATTTGCTACCAATACTTACTCCTCACCCTACGCATACATTGCACAAATTCTAAAACTTATTTATTTAAAAAATTTTCTGATTACTTTAGCTACATTCCACAGCTATAATATATTATTTTATAAGTCACTAATTTCCAAATATTTTCTAATTTCTAAAATACCATTGAACTGTGTTTTCTAGAAATGTATGATTTGATTTCTAAGCAGTTTGAAAATATATTCATAGCTTACTACCACTTTTCTTGGAGATTATATTAATATTTTCAATCATTTCATGATCCAGCATGTGGTAAAATTTTATAAATATTTTATGTGTATTTGATAAGAAAATATACTTGTGATTTCCAAAGGGGAGAGATAATAAGGGAAGGAAAAATTAAGATTTTAACAGATACAAACTACTACTCACAAATGAGATAAACAACAAGGATATACTGTACAGCATAGGGAATTATAGGCATGGTAATAACCTGTAATGGGGTACAATCTGCAAAAATACTGAATCACTGTGCTGTACATTTGAAACTAACATAATATTGTAAATGAACTACACTTCAATAAAAAGACTTTGTCTCCTGCTGTTATTGACAGCATTATTTTATGTAGTCAATTTTGCTCATTGAGCTGCTCGTCTCACTACTGTTACTGACATTTTCAGTCAGTTCAGTTCAGTCGCTCAGTCATGTCCAACTCTTTGCGACCCCATGGACTGCAGCACACCAGGCCTCCCTGTCCATCACCAACTCCTGGAGTTTACTCAGACTCATATCCATTGAGTCAGTGATGCCATCCAACCATCTCATCCTCTGTTGTCCCCTTCTCCTCCTGCCTTCAATCTTTCCCAGCATCAAGGTGTTTTCAAATGAGTCAGCTCTTCGCATCAGGTGGCCAAAGTATTGGAGTTTCAGCCTCAACATTAGTCCTTCCAATGAATATTTAGGACTGATTTCCTTTAGGATTGACTGGTTGGATCTCCAAGAGATTCTCAAAAGTCTTCTACAACACCATAGTTCATTTGCCTACTTGTTTTCATTTTCTGTAACATTTTGATATAGTTTGAAGTTTTGCTTCATGTAATTTTCTTTGTGGAATGGGTATATTGATGTGTGCATACAAATTTAGATTTGTATTTTCCTGATGGGTTGACCCCTTTATCACTGTCATTTCCCCCTTTTCAATGTACTGATATCCTAGCCTTAAATTATACTTTTTTGGCAATAGCATAGCTACTTTGATCATTGTTTTTTTGGTATATTTTTTTCCATCTTTTTATATTCAAATTTTCTGGGTCTTTATATTTAAAGTATTTATATAAAGTTTGTGTTATTTTTTTCAGGCTAGCAATCTAGCTTGGTGCATTCTAAGAAGTTTGGGCTTATGGCATCATCTTATTTTTTTCCTATTTAAATAATCTATTTTTGTTTCCTCTTTCTTCCTTTTTTCTGCTCTCTGTCAAGTTGTATTAATGCTTCTTTTAGCGACTACCTTAAAAATTAACACACACTTTCGGTTAATTACAAGCTATTGCTTTTACTGCTTCCCTAACAGTGGTAAGATCTTGTAGCCTTATCATTTCAATGACTCCCTCTGACTTTTTGCATTACTATGATAAGACATTTTCATTTCTACATACCCAAAAGGTATTATCACTTTTAATGCAGTAAACAGTCATGCTTATTCATAGAGTTTTTTTGATTGCTCTGCCTTTTTATTCTGAAATTTTATATGACATCAGTTTTCTCTTCCTGAAGAACTTCTTATGATAGTTTCTTTAGGAAAGTTATCGTGACAAAAAAGCTTAGATTTTATCTGCATGGAAATTATTTCATTTTCTTTACCTTTTGAAGAATATTTTCCTGAATTTCCCCCTCCTATATTTGAATAATATTCCAGTGTCTCATGGCTTGCTTCCATCAGTTTTTAAGAAGTCAGTTTTGGTATTTTTACTACTACTGCTCTTTGGAATGTAATATATCTTCTTTTATCCCCACTGATTTTTAAAAAGATTTCTCATTTTTACTTAGAGCTTTATCCTTATTACTATATTATCCTTATTACTATACTGGGGGGGGGGTGGGTTGGCATTTACCCTGTTTGGAGTGTTCAGAGCTTCCTGAATTGGAAGTTTGGTGAGAATTAACTGTTTAAAATAACCTTGCACAACCTCTGAGAAACAATCTTAGACCTATAGCAGTTGCTCTTTAGGAGAATGCCCAAAACAGGAAAAGTCACATTCAAATTAGTAGGAAATTTTATTGCATTTTGACTGGCCCTTGACTCAGCCCCTTCCTCCTGCAGCATCATCTTGGTCTATAGGAGATGGCAATCCAGTTGCTAGTTATCTCCCTCAAAGTGAAGGAAGTAGAACAAACTTTATTTACAGCATTCTGACCTGTCTTGAGAATGTTAAAAGAATTGGTCTCTGCCTAGCCTAACTTGGATCTCAGATGGAAAGGGATTAAGGAGGGATGGATTGGGAGTTTGTAATTAGCAGATGCAGACTATTATATGTAGAATGGATAAACAACGAAGTCCTACTGTATAGCACAGGGAACTATATTCAATATCTTGCAATAAACCATAAAAAGAATATTGAAAAGTACATATATTTATGAATAACTGAATTACCCTGCTGTATAGCAGAAATTAACACAGCATTGTAAATCAATTATATTTCAGTTTTTAAAAATTTATTGGGATTTCCCTGGTGGTCCAGTGATTAAGAATCTGCCTTGCAATCCACGGGATACAGGTTCAATCCCTGGTTGGGGAACTAAGATCCCACATGCTGTGGAACAACTACGTATGTGCTCCAACCACTGAGCCCATGCACAACTGGAGAGTCTGTGCACCACAACAAAAGAATCTGCTCGACATAACAGAGCCAAATAAATAATAAGTGTTAAAAACTGTATTAAATATGCTCAAAGAGCTAAAGGAAAATACAAAGAACCGAAGAAAATTAGGAAAGTGATATATGAGCAAAATAAGAATAACAAACAGAAACTGTAATAATAAACCAGACAAATTCTGGAGCTAAAATATGTAATAACTGGTTGAGAAAAACCCTGAAGGATTTCAACAGGAGATTGAACATGCAGGATAAAGAATTAGCAAGCTTTAAGAAAATTGAAATTACCAAGTTGAGAGAGCAGGAGGAAAAAATAATGGCAAAAAGTAAAACAAGAGAATTGTGGAGTTCCATCAACTGGATCAATTACACATTATGGGAGTCCCAGGGAGAAGAGAGAAAGAACAGGTGAAAAGATACTATTTAAAGAAATAATGTCTGAAAACTTCCCAAATTTGATGAAGGACATGAATCTAAAACCCCAAGAATCCCAAAAAATAGCATGTAAGAAATAACCAAACAAGACCTATACTGAGAAACGTGATAATTAAACTGCTGAAATTCAAAGACAAGGAGAAGATATTCCAAGTGAGAAGTAACTCCCTGTGTGTAAATAATCCTGAGTAATATTAAGAAATAATATTACTAATCAATTTCTTAGTAAAGATTTTAGAGGCCAGAAAGCAGTGGGATGACCTCTTGAAAATATTGAAAGAGAAAAACTGCCACTGAAGAATTCTGTATCCAGCAAGCTGTTTTTCTAAAACAAGGAAGAAATTAAAACATTTTCAGATAAATGAAAGCTGAAGGACAACTAGGAACTCCAAGATCAAGGTACTGATTGACTTGTTTCCTAGTGAGAACTCCCTTCATGGCTTGCAGATGGCCACCTTCTCACTGCGTCCATACATGGGAGGGAGAGAGAGAGCAGTCTCTCATCTTTCTTCTTCTTCTAAGGACACTATCCCATTATGGAAGCCTCACACTCATTACCTCATCTAAATCTAATTACATCCCAAATACAATCACATTGGGACTTAGGGCTTAAAGATGTAAGCTGGCAATATGAGGTGGGGAGACATAGCATTCATCCACAACACTGAATGAAATTTTTGTTTGCCGCTCCACTTTTCTACAGGTTTTAAAAGACAAACGTATAAAAATAGTTACAAATCCATATTAGTGGTTTACAATGTATAAAAATGTAAGTTGTAATATGAATAACAAAGAGTTGGAAGGAGTTGTATAGTAGTAGAACTTTTATATGTTTTTAAAGTTAGGATGGTATTAATCCAAATTGGATTATTATAACTTTAGTATGTTATATGTAACTCATGATACAAAGGAAATAGCTATAGAATATACACAAAAGTAAAAGACAAGGGATTCAAAATAAGTCAACAGAAGAAAACTGAATAAAAAAGAAGACAGTAACAGAGAAACTGAGGAACAAAAATGAGTTACTTAAAAAATAGCAAAATGACAAAAGTAAGCCCTTATTGTAATTAAATTTAGATAGATTAAACTGCCCAATCAAAAATGTTGTCTATAAAAGACTCATTTAGATCTAATGAATAAAAGGAAGAAAAAGCTGAAAGTGAAAAAGTAGAAAAAGATATTTCATGTAAATAGTAAACAAAAGGGAGCTGAAGTAGCTATACTAATATCAGACAAAACAGACTTTATGTTCGAAGGTGTTGAAAGAGATAAAGAAGGGTAGTATCTAGTGATAAAAGGAGAAAATCACCCTAAATAGCTAAAAAAAATTTGAAAAAGAAGAACAAAGTTGTAGTACTCTTCCTAATTTCAAAACTTACTACAAAGCTACTGTAATCAAAAGAATCTGGTACTGGTATATAAACCAATGGGACAGAAAAAAACCCCGAAATAAATTCTTTCATATATGATCAAATGATTTCTGATAAGAGTTCCAAGATTATTCAATGAGTGCAGAAGAGCCTTTCAACAAATGATGGTGGGAAAACTGCATATTCACATATAAAAGAACGAAATTTGATCCTTATCTTAAACTGTATACAAAACTTAAGTTAAAATGGATAAAGTTCTAAATGTAAGAGCTATTATAATACTGTAAGATTTTTTAAAGAAAATTTTTTATAACATTGGATTGGCAGTGGTTTCTTGGATGTGATAGCAAAAGCATAAGCAGAAGAAAGAAAAAGATAAATTAATTGGACTTCATGAAAACTAAGAAAACACATAAATCAAAGGGCATTGTCAACAGAATGAAAAGGCAATCCACAATATGGAAGAAAATATTCAACATTTTATACCTGCTAAGGAATTAATACCCAGAATATATAAGACATTCCCCAAAATTACCAATAACTCCAACAAACCAAATTCAAAAATGAGCTAGAGCTTGAGTAGACATTTCTCCAAAAAGGCCAATAAGAGCATGTAAAGATGCTTGACATCAGTAATCTTTAAGGGAATGCAAACCAAAAACAGTAATAAGATACTCCTTTATACCTATTCAGATGACTACTATCAAAAAGAGAAAATGACAAGTGTTAAGAAGGATGTGGAGAAACTGGAACACTGTGCACTAATTGGAATCTAAAATGGTGAAGCTGCTGTGGAAAACAGCTTGGCACTTCCTCAAGAAAATAAACAGCATTACCTTATGAGTTTGCATTTCCACTAACAGTGGAATTCCAAAAGAATTGGAAGCAAGAATTTGAAAACATTTGTACATCATTGTTCATAGCAACATTATTCACAATAGCCAACTAGTGGAACCAACTCAAGTGTTCCCTGATGAAAACATGGATAACTAAATATGATATATACATACAATGGAATATTGTTCAGTCTTTAAAAGTACTGAAATTATCGTACATGCCACAACATGTGCAAGCAATTGAATTCATCCTATTTCTCATCTGCTCTGATAGAAACAAAGTAGTCATGTCCATAATGCCCAAATATTTTCACTAATGTTATATTCGCTTTTTGTTGCTTTTTCTATTACCATTGAAAACTTGCTACCAATCACATAGTAGATCTTATCAACATAACACTGCTGTTCACTTCTCAAGTATCCTGCTACATGATCATTTATAGTTCAAAATAGGTAACCCTAGAATATTTGGCAAAACCACAATTAATAACTTACACGATGCAGACCTCTGGAAACTTATCTTCCTTAATAATTCTGTGGGTTCTCTCTTTCCTTAATTAGGTTCCTTATAACTTGAGGCTTCCTTGTTTGCCTCTCAACTGAGTGGCTGAGATAGGAAGAGACAGATTAGGAATACAGTCGAGTCAAGAGGCAGAATCTAAAAATAGAGAATTATGAAAAGTAGGTCCCTTAACATCACAGCTTACAGCTGCCAGAATGAAAACCTTAACAAAAGTTTTCTTACTAGGAATATAATTTCTGGAAATATTGAGAGTGAGCTTTTTGGGGGTTAGGTGAAGAGGCAGAAAGAATATACTTTGATCTTGTTCAAGAACAAAATGAAACTGTCCAAAGTAGATAAAAACAAGTAGAAAGTAAAGGGGGTTCTTCTCACTGATAAGGAAAACATGGAAGTACCTCACAGCCATGATCACAGATCGAATTATTTGATTCATAAATAGCTCTGTATTCTAACAAAGAAAGGTTTATCCTTCTCTGAGTTTATTGACTTGTGTTCTCATGTATTATATTGCATAGTTTTCTTCAGTTTGACTTTATTTCTGTATTCTGTATCTCAGGTGGTGTTCATGTTCTCTGACTTGAAAATATTGGTCACGAATTACCACTTTCTGGATACAATGCTCATCTTCATGGTGTTTGGCTGGTCTGTCATTCCCTTCACGTACCTGATAAGTTTCCTGTTTTCTAGTCATACCAGTGCCTACACCAAGCTCGTCATATTTAACTACTGTGCAGGGACTTTTGGCGCAACAGCAGATTTATTTTTATCCTCAACTCAGGGTAAGGACTTAAAACAATTTCCCCTTTTCCACAGGAATAGTTAAAGAGGAATTGGCTTGAAGAATGGAACCTTGCAAAGTTGTTTGCTTGGGGGTTTCTGGGGAAGTTTTATGCTAGTGTTAATAACCATATTAAGTGTCACTAAAATTATAAGAATCATGTTGTGTACAATGCAAAACAAATTATGACACTGATATTTTCGCTAACCCAATCCTCTTCCTTCAGGCTTATTTTGCATAGCATTTGCAGAATATTTATCTCTTTATTTTCCTCTTGATTTTGAGAATAAGGAGAAATTGACTGGACTGGCAAAGATATCAAATAGGAATTTCTTAGGAGATAGACTGTTGGCATGCCTTTATTAAATCACTCTACAAACATTATTGTGATCTGTTTTAAGTAATCTAGCTATCCTTGGATTTCCAGAGACTGAGAAGAATGTTTCCAATCCATTATTGACCTTAGATCATGCCCTCCCATGAAATAATTAATTCCCTGAGTTATCTGAAGATCTATTATAATACACATTGCACACCTATTCAAGGGGGAATATTAAGCCATATGAGAAATTATTGATTTCTGAATAGCAGACTAAGCAACATATAGGAGGATACTTAATCACATTGCTATTAATTAGTCTGTATTTGTTTTGTATTGCTACTGTAGTAAGTTACCACAAAATTAGTGAATTGTGCAGATTTATTATCTTACAGCTTTTAAACAAGTAAGTCTCATTGGGTAAAATCAAACTATCTGCAAGGCTGCATCCACTTTTGGAAGGTTTAGGGGAGAATTTGTTTCCTTGTTTATTTCAGTTGTTGGCAGAAATTCAGTTCCTTTATATTATAGTCCTGAAAAATGGATTTTTTCTAAAATGGATATTTTCCCTTTCTTAAGGAAAGAAGAGCTCACCAATGAAAAGTCTCATCTCACACTTGGAGTTTTCTTCGTGGGAAGTTTTGTTGTTAATTATAAATTTATTTTCTCCTTGAGACAGGACTATTAAGATTTCTTATACCTCCTTGTGGAACTTTTGAGACATTTATCAAAGAACTTTCGCATTTCATTTAAGTATCTAAAACTATTGGCATAAAGTTATTCATAACATTTCCTTATGATTCTTTAAGGCCTATTTGTAAGTATTGATAACTGCTCATTCATTCCTGGTATTCTGTATTCACTCACACTCTCCCACCCTTTCTGTCCAATCAATTTTTGCCACTTTTTTTGTCTTTTCAAAGTGTTGTCTTTTGGTTTTATTAATGTTGTGTGTTTTTATGTCCTGCTTTATGAATTTCTGTTATATTTATTTTCCTTTTTTTCTTTTACCTTGGATTAAATTGGCTATGCTTATTCTACCTCTGTAAGATCAATTATTACATGATTTTAAACCTCTCTCCTTTGGAATACATGAGCACTTAGAGCTATAAAGTTTCTTCTAAGTACTAATTTAGTTGTATCTCACACATTTAGATATGTTGTATCTTCAGTATCATTGAGTTAGGAATATTTTATAATTTTTCTTGTAATTTCTACTTTAACCAAATGTTTGATGACTTTCTAGGATTTTTTGTGATCATTTTTTAAAAAATTTATTTTGTACTAAAACTGATCTCAGTTCATAGTTCAGTCTTTTAAATGTAATTATACTCTAGGACAACTACTCTGCTTAATCACTACTGGTATGAAGTACAGAAAATGTTCATGTCCCATTCAAGGCAGTTCTAAAAGCCCCTAAAATATTAGATTTTTATTAGAATACCCTGGTGAAATATCTAAGAGCTCTTACTCAGTATGCCTACATATGACATGTGATACAAAATGATTATAAAATAGATACTAACCTGACTTCCTATAGTAATAAGGTGTACTCTAAGAAATATTTCTAAGATAGTTGGTTTAGCATGATTTCTATTCAGTTTCATTGTAAAATAGCACTATAACTTTATAGGGTCATTTGTTTTCTCAGAGACAATGACCTGCTTATTAATATTCTCTGAGGAGAGTTATACACAATTTAAACAGTGCCAAAATGTAAAATAATATTCAGTCATTATAAGTTCAGTATTCTGATACTCAAAGTCTTATTATACATTTTCTTAAAATGAGAGGAGATTAAGAGGTAGTCTTTGAGGAAAATAAGAAGAAATTATGGTGAACCAAACAAATTAAAATCATAATAAATGAAATGAAAAAAAAATTCACTGGAAGGTTTCAAAACAGATTTAATCAGGCCAATTCTGTGAACTTGGAGACAGGACAATTGAGTCTAAGGAAAAGAGAAAAAATAGGGAAGAAAAGTGAATAACGTCTAAAGGATCGCTGGGACTCCATCAGGGAGACCATATACATATATATAGTCCCAGAAGAGAAAAAAGAGAAAAGGAGGCAAAAACAATATTTCAAGAAATAATAGTCAAAAACATCCCAAATTTGATAAGATATGAACCTACAAACACAAGAAATTCAGCAGACTCCATCTAGAATGAATTTAGAGATCCTCATGAAGACACATTGTAATAAGTCTAGAAAGACAAAAAGGAGGACCTTGAAAACATCATGAAAGAATTAACTCACCAAGTTCAAAGAGTTCTTGATAAAATTAATAGTGAATTTCCCATTAAAAACCGTGGAAAACAGAAAACTGTGGAATTTTAAAAAAACAACAAAAACAGAAACCTTATCTATGAAGAATTCTATATCCAGCAAATCTGTTCTTTAAAAATGTAGACAAAATTAGAGCCTCCCAGATTTAAAAAAAAAGACAGGTAGGTACACTACCACTCAACTTGTATTACAAGAAATTTTAAAAGGAGTCATTCTGGATGAAATAAAATTATGCTATAATATAATTTGAAGTTGTATGAAGAAATAAAGATCTTCAGTAAAGGTAACTAGGTAAAGAAACATGAAATAAAGATTATTCTATTTTTCTTTTGTAACTTTGCACTTTGAGAAATGAGTAAAATAAGAGAAAACTAAAGCCAAAGGCAGCAGAAGGAAGAAAATAATAAAGATTAGAGGTAAAAGAAACAGTGAAACTAAAAGGAAATTCTTTGAAAAGAGCAACAAAATTTAAGAACTTCAGCTAGATTGTCTAAGGAAAAAGAAAGAAGGAAATAACTACAATCAGAAATGAATGTGAGGAATTTATGTCTGATTTTCCAGAAATAAAAAGTTGTACAAGACTGAATGATTGCACATCAAAAATTAGATAACTGAAATGAAATGGACAAACTCATAAGAGCACAAAAATAATCTAAACTGACTGGACAAATTCATAGGAGCACAAAAATAACTTAAACTGACTGAAGAAGAATTAGAAAATCTCAGTAAACCTCTAACAAATAAAGAGATTAAAAGAAGAATGAAAAATCTCACAACAAAGAGAAGCCCAGGATCAGATGGTTTAACCAGTAAGTTCTATAAAACTTTATAAGTAACATAAATTTTCCTAAAACTCTTTAAAAATAGAATACGAGAGAACAAGTCCTAATTCATTTTGAGGAAACCATTTCCCTATAGCAAAGGTAGATAAAGATATCACAAGAAAAGATAATTAGAAACAAATACTTTTGTGAATATATGTGCACAAGTCTCTGGAAAAACAGTGGCAAACAAAACCAATAGCAATTTAAATGATTACACCATGACCAAGTGGAATTACACCAGAAATGCAAGGAAATTTCAACAAGACAAAATCAAATCATTCATTGTTAAAATAATGGTGAAAAAATCCCACATGATCATCCCAACTGATTCATAAAAGACATTTGACAAAATTCAGTGTGCTTTTATGGTAATACACCCAGATAATTAGGATTTTTTCAGAATGGTAAAGGGTATTTATGTAAAAACTACAGGTATACTCAATGGTGAAAGACTGAAAGTTTTCCTTCTAAAATCATAAATAAGACAAAAATGCTCCTTTCACCATGGCTATTCAACACTGAATTGCAATTGTAGACAGAGAAATTGGATGAGAAATAAAAATTTTAAAACATTTAAGTTGGAAAGAACTAAAACTGTCTCTTTTCACAGATAGAATGATTTATATAGGGAAAAGCCCAAACAACCATCAAGACAGTTACTATAGCTAATGAAAAAACGAGCAAACTTTCAGATTACAGGATTAACACATAAAAATCAACTTTGTTTCTATACACCAGCGATAAAAAATTTGAAAATGAATTAAAGAAAGCAATTTCATTTGTAATAGCATCTGAAATAATTAAATACTTATGAAAAATTCCAACCAAGTATATGAAAACTTGTGCTGAGAACCGTAAAACTTTGCTGGGAAAAATTAAACAAAACCTAAATAAATGTGAAAATATCTATCTTCATAGATTAGAAGACTTAACAATGTTAAGATAATACTACCTGAAACAGTCTACAGATTCAACACAAACTCTACACAATTCCAACATCTTTTTTCACAGAAATGAAAAATATCCTAAAATTCTTATGGAATTAGAATGGGCTCAGGGCTTTCCTGGTGGTTCGCAAGATAAAGAATCTGCCAGCAATGTTGGAGACATAGATTTAGTCCCTGAGTCAGGAAGATCCCCTGGAGAAGGCGACTCACTTCAGTATTCTTGCCTGGAGAATCCCATGGACAGAGGAGCCCAACGGGCTACATACAGTCCATAGGGCCACAAAGAGGTGGACACGACTGAAACGACTTAGCACACAAAATGAAGAGAACAATGTAGAAAAAGAATAAAGTTGGAATTCTATGTTTCTTGATCTTGAAACTTTCTACAAAGTTGCAGAGGATTTTGGGTTAAGATGGCAAAATAGGAGGATCTGGAGTTCGCCTCTCTCCACAAATACATCAAGAATACATCTACAAGTGAAATAATTTGCACAGAGTACCTACTGAACATTATTAGAGGACCTCAGACACCTAATAACTGGGAAAGATCCCCTAATAACCTGGTAGGATGAAAAAGAGGAAAACAAGGTAAAGAGGAAATAGAATGGGACATGCACCCCTT